TTGTGAAAAACAGTTACTGCGTCCTGAAGATGTCCTGTTTTGTTGTAGTCCATTTTTTATTGCGTTCTTTCTTTTATTGGCGACATTTTCTGACTAGTTTTTTAGGAGGGCTGTTCCTGGAGCTCCTGTTCATCGAAGGAATCGTTCATTATCAGGTTCAAAATCAGAAGACCACATACTAACAGCAGAAAGCGGAAGAGTAGGCCTTGTTAATCTCATTCATTTAAAAAAAAATGTAATTTATCTGAAATATGCTAGCAGTTGTTGCGTAACATTGTGGTATAGAAATGTAACTGAGTCATTCGCTGTAGAAATTGAGGTCTTTCCAATTTCAGGAGTCGTTTATAAGAAGCAGTAGTCTATTCGTGTTATTCAAATTTTTTATTTTGGTTTACGATACTACTAGCTCCTAATCAAAGTTTCTGTAAATTATAGCGTATTTATACAAAAGGGCGTCCTCCGTGGTATAACCGAGATGGCAAAAGATCGAAAGAGGCATATCTTATTGGTATTTGCGGAGGGTCTGCTTCTGGAAAAACGACCGTCGCCAGAAGGATCATTGAAATGCTTGAAATACCGTGGGTTACAGCCCTTTCAATGGATTCTTTTTATAAGGTTATCAGTACTTTTACTGTTCAGTTTTTGTAGTTTTATTTTTTTTTCCAAACGTTTTGTGGGTTTTGGCAGTTTCTGAATGTTTTTGACGATTCTTCTCTCTGTTCGGTCATGGGAAAGGGAAGTGAATAGAAGAAGTTGACAAGTTGACGTTTGTGGAAAATATGGCGAGATTGAGATTCTAAGGATTTTTTTGGGCGTTTATAACTTGTTTCTTAAGTGTATTGTTTTAGCGTTGAAACCGGCTGAAATCTTTCAAGGCCTATGTAAAAAAATGGGTCAGAAGTAACCCGAGTTGAAGTCATTAGAGAAAGTGATAGTGCAGTGGTCGTCAACCATATTATTTAATTTTGATGTTTGACATTTTTTTCAGGTTCTAACGGAAGAGCAGCATGTTCTTGCGGGAAAAAATGAGTACAATTTTGACCATCCTCAAGCATTTGATTTTGACTTGATGATTGAAACTATTCGTCGCCTTCGTGAGGGAAAAAGCGTTGAGGTGGCTGTTTAGGAATCTCGCAAAATCAGATTCTTGACTGTCGTTTGAAAGTTGTGATGAGGTTTCGAGCGGACCTATTCGACGCTCGAGAAACTGCTTCAGTTTATCACGTTCGATTTTAGGTTCCTGTTTATGATTTTACAACCCATCGTCGTGATAAGCAACCGAAATTAATGTACGGTGCTGATGTGATTATATTTGAAGGTATCCTAGCTTTTTACAACAAAGAACTTTGTGATTTAATGGACATGAAGGTTTGTTTTGTGTAGTGCTTTTGTTGATACAATTTTTATTTTACAATTTAGTTGTGTTTTTCTCACTAGTTTACGGTCTCTTAGTTGTGGTTTGTTCTACTCTTAGATGCATTAATTTTTTATAATAGTTCTTTAGGTTTTTGTCGAAACAGATGCGGATATAAGATTAGCTAGAAGGCTGAAGCGTGATATTGAGGAAAGAGGTCGAGATTTGGAGGGTGTTCTCCAACAGTATCTGACGTCTGTAAAACCAGCGTTTGATACCTTTATTGCTGCCGGGATGAAACTTGCTGATATAATTGTACCCCGTGGAGGAGAAAATGAAGTAGCAATTGATCTCATTGTTAAACAAGTAAAGAGGCAGCTCGCTGCTAGAGGTTAGAACTTATACGATGGTTTCTTTCAGTACTGTATTTCAATTTGTTCTATCTAACTAAATAATTTTTTGGTGATATAAAGAGTTCCAGGCTACGACTCAGTTTGTTCTCTAACAATGAGAGCAGGAATGGTTCATATGGATTGTCCATTTCAGCCTCCTCCGTCGCTTAAGATAATGGAACAGAAACCACAAGTCCGGGGGTTGCATACTTTTATTCGAAACCAAGATACTCCAAGGCCTCTGCTTTCTTTACTTCTGCACCTTGAAGGATTCACCTTTTTTGTTTGTAGCTGACCTATGTTCATTTTTTATTTTTCACGTTTTATAATTTTTAGGAATGAATTTATTTTTTACGCTGATCGTCTTGCACGGTTGTTAATTGAGTATGCAATGAATTACATGCCCTTTGAAGATGTAGAAATAACCACTGTGGATAATAAAATGTAAGTTGATTTTTTAATCCTCTTACATTATTTTCTGCTAGAGAAAACTTTTCTTTTTAAGATTCAATGGGAAGCGTACTACTGCAGAAATATGTGGTGTTGCTATAATGAGGGCTGGTGAGACCATGGAGAACTCACTTTTAGCCGTCGTGAAGGATTGTAAAATAGGCAAAATAATGATACAAACTAACGAGAAAACGATGGAGCCTGAACTTTATTATTGTCGTTTGCCTCCGAACATTCAGGAGTTTAAAGTATTTTTGATGGATGCCACTGTAGCAACTGGTGTGCTATAAGAATGGAAAATTTCTGTGCAATTTTTCAGGAAGTGTTTGTAGAGTATTATCTTTTAAAGCTTTAGGTGCTGCAGCAATGATGGCTATAAGAGTCCTTCTGGATCATGATGTTTTGGAGGAAAATATCTTTCTTTTATCGTTTTTGATGGCGGAACCAGGTGTTCATTCTTTAGGATATGCTTTTCCAAAGGTCTGCTTCACATTGAGACGATTAACAGACAGATTGTCTTCCTAAATAACAGTTTTAATATTTTTGCTCTCTTTGCTTACATGAGTTAAAAATAATTACTTCACTGTTTTAAGGTGACTTTGTTGACTACAGCAGTTGATAAAAGCATCAGTAAAAGCTTACACATTATTCCTGGAATGGGCAATTTTGGTGACAGGTACTATGGTACTGAAGCTTCTGGGTGTTCACTGCGTCCGACGCATCTTAGGAGTCTGCCGGCTCTTGGTGATACTGATGGCAGGTCGTTGTCTGATGACTGATGATGCTGACTGAAGCTGTTGCAAAGCAGTGTCTGAATCAGTTGCGAGGACTTGTTCTTTCTGTAGTTTTGTGGCTTGTCAGAAAAGCTTACATGAAGCATGTCGAAAAGTTCCGTTTTTCGTAAGCGAAAAGCTGGTTATCCTCAGAGCAAAGATGATGGCTAGACAGATGAAAGTTATTGTTATTCAACTGTGCTGAAGTTTCTGCTCTTTATCAAAATGATTAATTTTTTTATTTTAACTAGAACTGAGTAGCTTCTCTGTCATGTTCAAATTCTGTTCGATTCATTTGGATATTACACAAAGGTTTTTCGCATCTCTGTTATTCTCAACTCTTATAGTTTTTTTTTGAAAAACAGTTGATTGATGAACAGTTAATACTTGGTTTATGCTACGTGTCACTAATTCTTCGACCACTTATTTTAATTATTCTTCCGTTTTATGCTCAAAAATTAACTCAGAAGTTTTCTGACTCGACGGTGCTGTTTTGCTCAGGTTGTGAAAAGTTGGGTATCTTTCACTAATATTTTTTCTTGTTCTAAATATTTTTGAGGACGTTCTATGGCTTTCAACCAAAATTTTTTCTTGGCTTTGCTTTTGAACTGTTTGCTTCTATCAGGACAGCATATCTGATTGTCTTTCGTTATTTTTGTGAAGTTTTTGTGTTTCTTTCATTGATTAACTTGTCAACCTTTGACAGGAATTCGTCTTAAGTTTTTATTCTGTGCAAAACAGTATGTTTGATGTGTTGTACCAAAACTTGGTTTTCTAACGTCTTGTTTTTTTTTCCGCATTTGTAGTACTGTATATTTTTGAGTATTTTTAACACCTGTAGGTACTCTATTCAGCTGTTTGTCGTAGATGAATTGCTGTATGACACATGTTGGGTTGTTTTCCATATTGATGTTGGGATTTCTGGATTTTCAAATGTGCTTTTTCATTCCTGTTTTCAAAACAGTATTGCTGTAACGTTATGTATCTGTCGATATTCTGCAGCTGCTTGATGTTCTTGATTCGTATTTTTGCTTCCTCATTTATTTTGGGTGCAGTATTCGCACTGAAGTTTAGGTGTTATTTTAGTGGATTGAAGGCATGGGAACGGAAGGGCCATTGTTTCTTACCATCGGGTTTGCTTAACATTTTCAAGAGCAAAAAGAATTTGTAGTTCTTTAGTATTTGGTTTTTTAGAAAGAATTAAGAGGTTGGAGTGGTCTTTGTAAGTGGTGCGGAAAGCCTTAGGGATTTGGATGTGCTGGTGTTTAGGAAGAGAGTGGTATGGTTTTTGTCCTTGGTGTTAGTTTATGAGGTATTATCTGTTTCAGATAGTTGTTGATGGTTGTCAGGGTTCGTGGTTGATGTCAGGGCAATTATCCTCGTTGCAAATTCATTGAAATTCGCGAGGGAAAAGTTTTTGTTGGTTTAGTATTGCAATTTTATTTTTATTTTTTTGTTGCTCATAGAGTTGTCGCAGTGAACCTATTGTTATTGTTCTTGTTTGGTATTGTTTTGTTTCGTAATTACTCAAATGATAAAACGTTTTGGCATCGGTAAGAGGAGTCCAGTAAGTGTTTCATGGTATATGGTCATCCCTAAAAGATGTTGATAGGTGTCATTCTCCTGGCCTTCATAACTGCAATTTTTTTTTGTACTAAGGGGGGACTGGCTTTTCCGCCTAGTAGCATATTTTATTTGCTCAGTGCGTAGTGCAATTTCTGTGCGCTGCGCACTGAACAATGTTTCCATTGCATCTTTATGAATCCTGCAAAGTTAGTGCCGTAGGAGTTCGTTGGGCAGGTGTTGTTGTGTTTGAGATGAGATTTGTAGAGATTTAGGTCTGTTGGTTTTATCAGTCGTGATGGGGTTAGGTATTTTTTAGAGTTGAAGTTGTGCTAAGGTAGCAGATATCGTGCGAAGAGTTGTTAGGACGACTTGACTTCAGTCGTGGAACTTTTTCCTGTGTTGTAATTTTTACTCTTTGAATAGTGCCTATTGGTAAGAAAACGTCAGAGTAGACGCTGTTGCTGAGGTGACGTTACGACGGCATGTCTTTGTTTCCGCTTAGGCATTTAAAGATTCAGCAGTGATACGGTGGCTCTGGCAACTGTATGTACTCTAGTTTCTTATTTCATGGAAGTACTAAATGCTATAGGCATTTTAGGATTTGGTGTTTATTCTGTATTAGATATGCTTAATTTCTTCTCTGCTGGAACGGCTCGTGAGTTTGACTTAAAACTGCGAGCATTTTCGGCACCATTCGCACAAGCGGCAGATACCGAGAAGGTTAACGAAATCAATCATGGAGGCAAAGTAAGTTCGCTGACTAGCTAACGGTTTTGTGGGGGGTTATTGTCATTTGTAAATTAGATAGAAAGGCTGTCTTGTTTCATCTTTACTTCTTGATAATTGTAACCCAAATTTTTTTTAAAATTTTTAGATCTTATTACCTCCTTCTTCGTTAGACCTTCTTGTACGATTGAATATCGAATACCCGATGATGTTCAAAATTTCCAATCCTGAAGATCCTTCTCGAGTGACTCATTGCGGAGTGCTCGAGTTTCTCGCCGAAGAAGGTCGTTGCTATCTGCCATCTTGGGTGATTTCTTTAATCCATATTAAGTTTTATTCGTCTTTATTGTATTTGGGAAGACTTTTTGGAATTAGGATATTGCTGTTCCCTAGTTCTTTTCAAAAGCAGCTGTAACAGCAAATGAATGGAGTGGTTTACTATGAAATATTTGATGCGAAGATTGGTTGCACCGTGGATCATTTAAAGTTAGTGTTGCGAAGCATTCTTAAGGTTTTCTTTACAGATAATGAGGCAACTTTGCCTTAATGAAGGGGATGTGGTTCGTACTGTTTACGTCAACTTACCCAAAGCAACGTACGCAAAGTTTAAGCCCCAGTCGACAGACTTCTTAAGTATTTCTAACCCGCGTGCGGTATTAGAAGTGGAGCTAAGAAAATTTGCTTGTTTAACGAAAAATGATATTATTGCAGTCGAGGTATTGTGAGAAACGTGTTACATTTTCTTTTTAATTTTTGGAAATTACTCCCTTTTTTAAGATGAATAAAACTTATATGATTATAATTACTTACCAATGTTTTTAGTATAACGAGCAGATTTTGGAATTTTTGGTTATGGAGGTAGAACCAGGTAACGCCGTTTCAATCATAGAATGCGACATGAATGTTGAATTTGATGCTCCAGAGGGATACGTTGAGCCTTCTACTACTAATGCACATATTCCTTTCGTTAAAGTTAGCCTCTTCAGTTGGTTTCAGGGCTTTTATAGTTGGTACATACCTGTATCTCGTAATTATGTACTCTGCTAAAGAAATATTTTTTGCACTCAACTAAATTGTTATTTAGCCTTCTACTCCCCCACCATCTGCTAGGATGCCGCAAGGTACAGCGGCTGGGGACAAGACATTTCAAGCCTTTTCGGGCAGCGGATTTAGACTTGATGGTAAAGGTAAAGGGTCGAATGCTTCTCTTGCAAGTACTGTGAGTTCAGAAAAAAATATTTTTCCCATTGTTGTGGACACTGAGTATGTTCCTGGCAAACTAACTTTCGTTAGGTGAGTTATTACCTCTACTTTTTGCTTTTTTTCTGTCTATCTTCTTTTGCTGAGTTGATGTTTTAATAATTTTGCTAATGAAAGTCGTTCCTTACCATTTTGAGGAAATGCGCCATTTATTGTGACTTCTAGCTTTATTATAATTATTGGTTTTTTTTTCGAGAAGTCAGTTATGATTGTTCGGGGAAACAGATGGTTTGTTTTTTGTATTGAAGGTATGCAGAAATGGGATTTATAATTTTCTGACTAAATTACCATTTTGGTAGTAAAGTGGCCATTTCAAGATATATCTGGAAGGTTATGCAGTGGATTCTTTGTAGTAGGGACTCATATCAATTGTTATTAGTCATGCTATCGTTCATTTAAGGTATGACTATAAAAATCGAGCCTATCTACAAAAGGAAGCTGAAAAGGAATCGAATGGAAAGGAAGGCAATGTACCGTTTTTAGGAACTGGATATACAATTCGGTCCCGCAAGTTTTAGTCGGTGGGGTTTCCAGTTCAAGACTTTCTTTTTACTTATAGTGGGTTTTTCACTTTTGGGTATCACCAAATTCTCACATATATGTATATTGTCTGGTCTGTAGTTCTCCTTAACATTATGTATAAGTCTGTTAATAGGCTCTATGACTAAATTTTTAAATGTGTGTTTGTAATATTGCGGGTTTTTAAGTGAGTGCTGGAATGATATCTATTTGGTGATTTGCAGTTTGACTTGACTGTGGTGTTTAGATAGAAAGTGGTTGTTTAACGAAAGTTAGTTTGCAGTGTGGCAGTAGACTGGTTATTTGCAGAATTTGTGGGGAAATGTAACGAGGACATTTAACTGTTTTATATCATGAGAATTTTTTAAAGAGTTTGGCGATGTAAACTGCAGATGGTATAAAATGCTGGATGGCATCGTTGCATGGTGGCATGTAAAGTGTCGTTGGAGGTCTTTTGCGGATTTTTAAATTTTTCTGAGTATTGTTGAAACTAAATAAATTGTTCATTGTGTCGTGTTAGGCGTATTGATAAGAGGCCAGCTATCGTTACTGAGTTATGGAAATTTTTTGTCATTGGTTACTGAGGGTATAAAGTGGCAGGACTTTGTATATTTTTTGCATGTTTTGACGCTGGAATGGGGAGCTTTTGGGTAGCAGCTTATTTGGCAGCCGCAGATTTCTTAAGGCTGCTTATGGAAGGAGACAAAAGTGAATTTATGAGCTGAAATGAAAACTTTAGATAATAATTGTTATATCACTTGTGTCTCATTTACTTTTTAAGATTGCGTTAATTAAATGTTCTTCGGAGGAAGTAGGGGTCGAGTGTGATGAGGGAATAGTTGGTATTTCTTCAACTCAGTTGTTGTTTTCCAGGGTTTGTGCTGAAGTAAGCGGTGAGACAAGTGGACTTTTTTAAGCTTATGAGTGAAGCGGGAACTTCTTACAGTATTAGTAGTGGTTGACTGATTACTAGTTTACTGCTAGCTTTAGTTTTTATTCTAAACGGTTCAATGGTTTGACGGGAACATGATAAATGCTACCTTTGCTTTCAAAGGTCGTGTCGTTACATATCAGTTTAACTTGGTTTTGGCGTTTAAAAGTTAAAATTTTTGAGTTACGTTTTTCTTCGTTTTTTAAAGGGATATTTAGACAAACCGTTAAAAACAATAAGAGGCGGCTTGGTTGATTTAGTTGTAGTCAGCTAATGATTTATTATCTGTCGATAATTCCGTTCGTAATTAGCTTTCTATGACTCTCGCTTCCAATAGCAAAATTACTTCAGTAGATGGTAACTTTCAAGACTGCAAGGGTAGTTGCGTTGTTATCTCATTTATTGATTTTAACGAAACAAATGAACCTTAGTGCTTAGTATGTGGTTTAAGAGTATTTTAAGGTATTAAAGGACGAGCTGAGCAGAGTGGATTTGTTGTGACTGATTAAGTCTTTTGTTTTGAAACACCAGTTTTTGACGGTTAAGGTTCTTAATTTTTTACCTTTTTTTTAACAAAAATTCGAACTGTTGCAATGTATAGTAATCAAATTTTCTGTGCTATTCTTTAGTTTAAGCGACAAAGGCCGTCCTGTTTTGAGAGAGTCTATGATGAGACACTGACTACTGGTACAGCGGCGTTACAGTTGGGAACTGTTTACTTGCGAACGTGTAGATAACGACGCTTGCCTCCTCTTTCAAAATGGAGTATAATGGAATCAGAAATTAAGGGATGAGCAGACATTATCTTTTTTGAAAACTGCTTTCTGATTCACTGTTGTTCATGAAGACATAATGGACGGGTCAAAATGCGAAGGGTCTTTTTTCGGCCTGTTAAACAGGCGTTTAGTTATGGGAAATGGCGATTTCGTACGACAACTGTATCGTATTCCTTTCTAAACAGTTATATTTTACTTTATGAGAAGATCACTTCTTAATTTAGGGCTATTATTTGAGCTATATTTTGCAGCAAATTTTGGTTTATCGAAAATTAGTGAAGCTTATAAGATTCTTTGTTGCATATATTCCTACATTCCTTGTCTCACCAAGAAAAAAAGTGTACGCATCATTGCCACAATATAGGTCTTCAAAATTTTGTCAAAAAACAACTTTTATTAAATAGTTTAAAGTCACTTTAAAGGTTTTTTTTGCTTTTTTTAGTCACCAGGTAGTATTAGCAGCTAAATATCGCAACGAGTTACAGTTGGACCGATAAGTACTAATGAGTTTTGCGATGGGAAGATCTTTTTCATTTTTATATATATATTTTTTAAACACTAGAAACAAACTGAATCCCCAGTGAATTGGTTATTGGGGTTGATAAGGAGCAAGGAAAAAGAGAAATACTGTTAACGTAGCGATGATGTTCTAAGCTCAATTGATTTAGAAATATGTAAACTGCTTATAATTTGGTTACTCTTTGAACAAATACACATCTTTAAAAATTCTCTTTTTGTTCTTTTTGCAGTCTTTTGTTTCTTTAAGTTGGTTGAAAAGTGAAAAAAAAAAGACAACAAAGTTTTAAAAAGCTAAGAACTCTTTAGGAGAATTAATAAAAAGAGGCATTTCTACTTTATGGTCAGAAAGGAGATTGAATGTTGAAGTTGCTTGTTTTGAAAGCAGATTTTCTGTGGAAGTAAAATTGTGAAACGGCAGTATTCTACAGTTTCCATATGTTGATCATCTTCAAGCAATAAACAAGAAAAGTATTTTTTTTTATTTTGTTGACAGTCGAAAATCACTTAAAACTTACTATCTATTGGTGATAATGAAACTTTTGATTAAAAAAATAGTCGTTTATTCGTTGTTGCAAATTGATGGTTAGTAATAACATTACATATTTTGTTGATACATTGTTGATATAACATCAGTTGAATATTAGTAGGCATTTTGCCATTACCTATTACCATTAGTTATCAATCAGTGATAGAAGTGGAACAAAAATTACTTTGTGCAGTTAAATTACTAAAAATTATAGGTCACCAAATTGAATTGCAGTAAGACTTGTGTAAATATTAGTGGAAAAAAAAAAGAAAAAAATTTCTTCCTTTTTTTTTTTTCGCTCTGTCATATAACACCTCCAAAATAGCAAATATATTCGTTTTTTTTTTCTGCTTCTAGCTTTTGAACTATTCATTGAACAAATTTTGACGGAGGTTTTAAGTTTCATCTTTTCTTCCAATAAGTACTCATTGATGAAACAACTAAATAACAACACAGTACAAATAGAATATAGTTTTTGCTGTTGTACAGTTGACTGAAAAAAAAAAAATTAAAAAAAAAAAAGAAGTTGAAGGTACAAAAAAAAATTACTACTGATCATTACTTAACTTTTTCAGTGTCTACTCTGATCGCTACGAATTCATCAACTAAAGTCTAATCTTTGCACTAAACTGAAAATTAGACAACAGATATCCGCTAACAAAGTACTGCTATCGTTAAAACTGACAATGGAATTTATTCAGGCAAAAAAAAAAAAAAAATAGTTATTCTTGTTTTTGGCTAAACTGCTGAATATAATCGGTTTGTCTGTTCAGTCAGTTCTCAGGTAACACTGAAAAAGAACACTGCTGTATTTTTTTTTTCTTCTTTGTTTTGATACTTAAAATTTTGCTAGCATTTATATAAATGTTTATATACAACTATTTACTATTTATGTCATATCGTAACTGCAAAAGAGTTGTTTTGGATACGTGTTTGTTCATGGGTCTCTTTATGTGTATTTGAGTAAAGAGATTGTCATTGTAGTCAGTTGATGGGTAATGCATAATTTTTTTGAGATAACAAAGTGTTTGCTTCGTTTTATTTTGAATCTTTCATCCGCATACGTTTTTTCTTGTCTATCTAATAATGATTATGATTAATTGAAATTTTGACACCATTACTAAGGCTGCTGCTGTTGTTGTTATTTTTGCTGCTGCTGCTGCTGCTGCTGCTGCTGTCGTTGTTGTTCAATTTGGTTATATTGGATGCTGCTGATTTGCTGATATAACCAGTTTGCTGAAGCTATTAGGGATGATAGTTTGATGATATATACACCCACTAAAATGATGTGACGCTCTGCTGTTCCATCGCCAGATATTCTGGCATTAATGTGTACTAACAAAACAGAACATATTTTGATTGTCGTCGATAGCTTAGATTATGTTTAAATGATGAAGGCAAAAATAAAAATCAACGATGGAAAAGGAAGAAAAAATGAAATCTTTCTTCTAAACATTTACGTTCATTTTTAGCTGAGTAATTTTTTGGTGCTTAAGTAAAGATGAGTATTAATCTTGTTGAATTGTTCTGACCTCTGCATTATCCCCGTCGCCCTCAATCACTCCTCTTTCTTCCTTGGTTTTTTTTTTATCGCCATCCCTGTAGTATTATTATCTGTTGCTGTTGGTTGTTGGCTTTTATCGTTGCATTAACAGCAACCACCCGTTGTTTAGCCAATTTTTTTTTACAAATATGTCAGTTTGTTGGATTTTTTTGATAATGTGCTGGCTGTTTGTTGGTGGTTGTTTAGTTTCATTTTTGTTGGC